TACTTACTATCCGGTAAGTATCACTGGCTTTTTCTTTACTCATTCCTCTACCTGTCAGAACACCTATCTCATAAATGTTCACCAATTGTGCTATATGATGGGGATGAGAAGACGGCGGGAGCCTTTGTTCTGAAGAGGTAGTAGTTCCTTCTGGACGTCTGAAAGTAGACAAGTCTTTCTCCCGAGTGTCTCCCCCAGGTGTCATGCACTGGCACTCCCACGTAATTCATCTAGTTTCTCTTGGAGCTTCTCAAAAGGCACTGGCAAGCAAGGCCACGAGTTAACAGGTAGAAAGAATTTAAAATTCATTGTCTGGAATCACTTTTTTTGTCTCTTAAGGGTCAGGTACAGAATTAGGCACAGGTATATTTAAGGCTAGCCATCAGAGAAGTAGTGTGAGAATGAGGATTCCTATGCTGAGTTAAGCATCTCTAAAGTTTCAGTGTAGAAAGGAAATAGTTATGTTTATTCTGAATAACGAAATAATTAAAATCACGATTTATAATGATCCAGTTCTGAAAACAAAAGAATTGGAGGTGATCCAGACATCAAATGAAAGTACTTAAGGATTCCTAATTTCTAACTGTTTTTCTTCTTTCTTCATCACTCAACTCTACTTTGGGGTTTTTTGTGTGCATACTGAATGAAACTGACATGAAATACCATCAACATCTCTAAATTACTCTTAGGAAACATCCACTAGAGGTTTAGTTCCTGGATAATTTCTTACCATAATGATATATATTAGAACTAAGAGTCTGTGATTATAAAGCAGAGTAGTTATTAGATGAGAAAATTATTCCAAGGGATCTTCCTCTTGGATCCTTCATATATATTCATGGTGCATATTCAGTTAGCCAAGAAAAACAAGAAAACATCTCCTCACCTCTGTAAGATGTTGGTTTTACACACATGACTAGAAGGTTTTTGTTAGGATTGAGTTGATCTCAGATTTCCAAATGTTTTATAACTATTGACAAAAACTTCATAAACTTTTCATTTGCCCTTTGTAGATTAAGCAAGAGCTTTAACAGGCACTCTCTGTCCAGAAAATCAAAGCAGAGGAAAACCCAAGGCTCTTCATGCTAAGTCTTCTCACTACTACTAGGATCTGAATTTTATTGTGTTGCCCCCAATTCCAATAAAAGAAATCCTGAAATGCTGAAACACATGTTCTATTATCCACACATCTATTCACATCATTAGTGATTTAGAGAGTAAATCATTTAAAGACCTCCCAAGAAATCCTTTAAAAAGACTTCTCTATCATCTTATCTTACCAATTTCGGAAGACATTTTTATAAAGGTTCAAATATTATCAAACTGACAATCACAAGAAAATATATGAGCTTCATGTCAGCAATGGTTTGATAAAACCAGCATTCCAATAAGCCACAATCATTTCAGAATAGTATCTCACATTTTAGTATTCTCAGCACTTTACACAACTGTCTCATTTTAATGTTTATAACGTCCATGTTACAGATGAAGAAGTTTGGCTACAGAAAGATTAAATCATTTGCTTAAGGTCATCAGCTAATAGACAGCAAAGTTAGGATTCAAACTCTGGAAATATAATTTTAGAGGCTAGACTCTGAATTACTAGGCTATGTTGCCGCTAGTATTTAATCCTCATCAACACAAAAAATAAGGAGTATAAATAAAGTCCATCTAGCAATTCTTCAAAACCTCTTCTATCTCAACAATTATTAAGTTCCACTACAGGTTAAAAAAAACCTTCCTTGGTTACTTTTCTTCATACTAGTTACTTTGTTAGACGATCAAGACCCATCCACCTAAATCATTTTAGAGTGGCCTCTTAAGTACAATGATACTGAAAACACCTCGCCAAATCTCTACACAAATTCCTCTCTAAACCTCCAGCTCAGGTAAAAATCATCTTAACAGACCCTACTTGCACTAAGAGACTTTTAGACATAGAGTTCTTCAACTACTGAATCTCACTTAACATTCAGACAAAGCCAAAGGAGGGAAAAAGCAATTCTAGACAGGAGAGAGTGGTCAACAGCTACATGCTGAAGACAGGTAAAATGTATGATCACAGAAAAGTGCCCTTTAGGGTACTAGGCAAGGCGAGTGGTAGAGGCCAAAGGCAGAGTGAGTGCGGAAGACAGAAGTTAGTGGAAAATGAGAAAGTGAAGACAGCGAGAGTACAGGAGAAAACCCTGGGCTGTAAAGGAAAAAACCAACTGGGGAACAGGAGCTGTGTTCCAGACAGCAGTCCAAATCCGTCTTCATATAATTCAGATAATTCCATCCCCCTAAAGCAGCAGTTCTAAAACTTTGTGGTGTCAGGACTCTTCTATAATGTCAAAAATCACTGAGGACCCCCCGCCCCAAGCTTTTGTTTATGTGGACTATTTCTATCAGTATTACTGTATTAGAAATTGAAATGGAAATTTAAAAAATATTTATCAATTCCTTTAAAATGATAAAAGCTCAATATATGTTAATGTGCATAAAAAATTTTATGAAAATAACTATTTTCCAAAATAAAAAATAGTGACAGAATAAGAGTTTTATAGTTTTTGCAAATCTCTTAATTTTTAGCTTAATAGAAGACAGCCAGATTCTCCTATCTGCTTCTTTTCAAAATGGTGTCTTGGGTAAAGTATATGAAGAAAATCATGGAAAAGGGAGGAGAATTTTAAAAGCCTTTTCAGATAATTGTAGATATTCTTCTTTGATAGTACATCGAAACTCTGACAAGTGGTAGTTTCTTCAAGGTTATTTCTAACTAAGAAACTACAGCAATGAACTTTCTGTACTCTGTTACATTAAATCCATTAATGTATCTCAGACTTTGAATGGATCTTTTACCAATATCTGATTTTATAACATCATGCATTAGTCATTTAGAAAATACCGGTTAACTGAGTTATGCAGATTTTCCAAATATTAACCTATTTATTATACAATATCAAAAAAACCCACATTTGCTAGTATCACCACTTAATCTCATCAGAAAAGTCTTTAAGTACTGTTAAGCTGCCAGATTCACAATAACATGTTTCCCAAAATTCCCAAATTTCCCCAAAGCTTAAATTTTATCATTGGCCACAAATACCAGTCACAAATACTATCAGTTGTTTTCTTAAAGTGACAGGCTCACTTCATTCATTTTCCAGATCAGCAGATTTATATGAAACTCGTGCCACTAACAAGATCAGTTGTTAAATTCCTAAAAAATTCCTCTCCAGGGAGGTCTTCAACTGCACAAACTTCACAATGGAAATATGTAAAAAGATAGAGGTAACATTGTATCTCACTTCCCCATATGCAAATGAGATAACTAGATGATCTTTAAATTCCCTTCCAGCTGACAGTGGACTCCATATGATTCAACATTCTAAGCAATTAATTAACTGATATATGTTCTTGGAAAATTAGAAGAAGAACCCAAATTAACTTACATAAACTAATTCACATATTCAAAAATATCTTAAAGTACAAAAAAATTTAATCAAGATAACACAAACATACATGAGACAACAGTAACATTGGAAGGCTGTTGCATGATCAAAGTTTACTTGAGTTAGCTAAATCCAGTCTTACTACAAATGGATGATTTGCACTGCAGTTCCAGGCTAACGTGGCAGAGGGAGGGGTTTGAGGGTGTGTGTGTGTGTGTGTGTGTGTGTGTGTGTTTCCAAATTAGATGTATTCTTCCTTCCAAAGGGAAAGATACAGAAAAAAATTGAGAGTTACAGAAAAGACAAAGTAACCACACCTAATTTTATTTGGGGAGTGGAAGGTGGGTGGAGGGAGACAGAGAATATGAATACAGTGTTCTGATACCAATAATAAAAAACCTAAGCCCATAGTGAAATTTCAAAATAAAAGACTATTAAATCAGGCTCAAACTAGCAAGAAGTAGAGATTGCAAAGTGGCAGAATTTGCTGAATTTGCGGGCAGCTGTGCCCCAATGAATTATTTCCGAGAGAGGGTTCCTCCCTCTGTAGCTAAGGCAAATTATTGCATCAGGCACCCGTGCAGGAGAAACCCGTTTGGTGTTTATTACTAGGTCATCGATCCCCGGGGTCCTACTGAAAGCTTTTAGCTCTACCTAACTAACTGGATATGAGAATCATTCTCATAATCTTTTCCTTGCCCTCTCTAAATTTTATTCTTTACGCAGTGCCCTCAGAAAAGGAGGCCTGTATTAAGTCACCAAGTCCTCCAGCCTTCCTTCCCTTCCGCAAAATCAAATTTCAAGATGTTCCATACTAAGGATGGCTGACCTCACCGAGTAACTCCGCAACATTTACAGTTCCCCAGGTTTACGATCTGGGAGCTCACTCGTTCCAAAAGGCCTTTTCAGAAGCCGGAAAAGATGACAGGCGCGAAGAATGATGAATTCACCGCATTATTAGAAAATAAAGTTCGACACCTCCTCACATCCACGTTTCAACTCTATTTTCCCAGCCAATCGTTCGGCTAACTAAGCACTGAATGAAAGAAGATGTAAAGGAGGACACACAATTCAAAGCATCCTGAGGATTAAAGAGTCTGGGCGTACATGAAAGAACCGGCAGCTTCGGCTCATCACAGACCGGGAAAGCATTAGGAACCTCTACACCCAGGATGCACAGAGCACAGCACAGCCTGGAAGACTGAAGTTAAGGATATTCAGTTAGGACACGAGGAAAACCAAAGGGTTACAGACCCCAGCCACACTGGAGACCTAAGAGGCGCGGACAGCAACAGGGATTGGGAAAGGAGAACAGAACGGGAAGGCAGGGACGCAGAGTATCAAGTGGATCGAGGGAGTCATCCAAAGAGGGGAGGATGGGAGTACGAGGGAAGGAAGGTGGCCGATGCATGGGGGACTTGGGTCCAAAGTGGGGAGGCGAGGAAGACACCGGAGTAGGAAGGGAAAGGGGTGACCGACGAGGTAGACGGGTGTCCGGGGGAACGAGGGATGACCAGGAGAGAGGTCTGGGGAGGAGGCTGAGCGCAGGGCGCAAAACGCCGGTACCTGCTGGCGCACGGCTAGTCTGAGAGGTGCCAGCACCTCCTCAGCCCCGGCGCCGTCCATGCTGCTCCGGGAGGCGGCGGCGGGGTAGGAGGTCGGGGCGCGGGAGGGCGCGCCGAGCAAGCGGCGGGGCGGGAGCGAGGGCCGGACCGGGAGCCGGGGCGGCAGCGACAGCAGCAGAGCGGCGCGGGCAGCTCTAAGCAGCGCCGGGCGCGGAGAGGGCATGAGCCGGCGGCCCTGGGCGGTCCGGAGGGGGCGGCGGCGGAAGCGGCGCGCGCGGCCCGGCCCGGAGCATGATGAAATCGCCGCGTACACGCCGCGGCGCGCGCGCAGCCGCACATTCCCCGCCCCAGACGCGGCGCCGGGACGCCGCCCGCAGATTCGACACAAAACCCGGAAGGACCGGGCCGCGGGCTTTCTGCACCTTGGTTGCCGGGCAGGGCTGCGAGCGAGCAGGTTTGCACAGAAATGCGGCAAGCCACCCCAGCAGGGTGGACGTTCAAGGGCGTAGCTCCATCCGAGACCTGCAGACCGAGACGCACAAGGGCCTTCGAAGCATAGGCTTGTACACCGGCGCTGACACGCGGGCTGGCGCGCTTGAACGCACTTCGGTCGCTGTTCTCTCGCGCTCTGCGCCCTGAAACGGCCGTAGAACATCAAATCAGATAGGGACTTAGACTTGATGTTGCTCAAGCTCAAGCGTTCTTCAGATGAGGAAACAGGTCCACGGAAGTTAACGATTTTCCCGGTGTCACACATCCACGGCTCGCCAATGTGAAAACAAAAGCCCGGGAAAGGGGAGGATGAGTGAGGGGTTAGGGTCACCAGAGGCTTTTTAGAGAAGGTAAATTCTGATCTGCTTTTGCGGAGCAAGCAGGATTTGGACCAAGAGAGACGAGGAAGAGCAAGAGGTAACAATCAGAGAGATGAGAAAAGGCTGGGAAACGTGTTAACGCAGGGGTGTGGAGATGAGAACCCAGGTGCCCGGTAAATCCCTCTGCTTGGAGTTGCCTCAGCTGACCAGTCATCCAGAGATGGCTTCCTCCTGCCCGAAGGGTGGGGTGGCTGGAAAAGCTGGATTCCCTCTCCAGAAAGGGAAGAGAAAAATAAAGAATGTTTTGGGTAGAAAAACAGCACTACGCACACCCACAAAAATGCCTAAAATGAAAATGATGGAAAATGCCAAATGATGCTTTGGGACTCCTCTACATTTCTAAGGGGACTGTGAACTGGCGCAGCCACTTTGGAGAACTCTGGCAGTATCTACTGAAGCTGACCATACACACCTCGTTGTGACCCACAGTTTAACCCCAAGAATGTACAAGAGTAGACAGGCTCACCATATTGAAGTCTCCTTTCCCAGTAGTATGAAAGTCCATGTTATTTCTCTTCCTGTTTCATATTTTTAAAACTTTTATTTTAAGATTTGATATTCATTATAATTTATTTGGCTTTTATTTTACTAGGTAATTTTGAATTAATTTGAATTTTTTTTTAAGAGACTGGGGTCTTGCTCTGTTGCCCAGGCTGCAGTGCAGTGGTACAATCATAGCTCACTGTAACCTCAAATTCCTGGGCT